GACCCTATGTCTGGCAAAAAGACTCTGCACCATGCCACACAAGCAGGAGAACCCAACCATAGCTGTTAGACTATTTCTGAAATCACATGACCCCTTACATCTGGCATCTATCTCCCCAGACTACAACCCCCTTGATTATTATGTGAGAGACCAACGAAACTCCTTGTAACACCAAATATCATCTGAAGGGGTGGATTATGGCAGAATTCACCAACTTAATGGAGACCATTCAGATGAGTGCAGGGTATTCCGAAGATGTCTAGAGGTCGTGGTTGAAGTCAATGGTTATTTTTACGCCTCTTACTATGTGACACACTACCTCGAGTTGCACGCGGGCCTTGTGCAGGGCGAATCACACTATAAAAAACAAAACAAAAAACATAGGTAGATAGAAAGCCAGACAAACAGATAGGTATATGTGAGAGAGGGGGGAAATAAACAATGAATCTACAATCAGGATTTGGACCACCATTATAAAACAATATAATTTTTCGACCGTTGTGCCCTCCAACCATCTTCAGGTGACTGTCGATCCAGCTATGTTTCAGGGATTATCGAAGTAAAACTCTTGAATTATTCTAAATATGCATATATTGCTATATTTTCGCTTTTCTCATTAAGACATATCTCATCATTTTCGTGTTACTCAGTTACTGAATGATAATTTTTAGATCAAATCATGGTCCAGATAATATATTTATTAGAAACCTTTTATATGCCAGGTCTGTTCAGGACGTTGACATTAATGGCTCTCCTCATTTTCCAGTCCTATGTAGCCTTTAGTAAATTTTGTGTTTTGCTATCTCTCCTGAACACTGTTCCAACAAACATTTATACAAACTTGTTAGGTAGGTTTTTCTGTTTTTTTCTCAATATGCCCTTTGAGTGTTAAACATTATAAGCCCACGTTTCTTATTATGTGCCCAAGAAACTGTAGCCGGGAAAGAGCGTGAAAATAGCCAATAAACTACATAAGGAACTGGTATAAATGAATGGCAGACAGGACGTGGGAAGGACCGTGAAATGAGTAAACTTATTAATAACAAAAATGATAGGAAATTCTGGAGAGCCATGATCGTCTCCCTCTTGAAGGGAGACGGTACATAGCAGAATAAGTAATTTTAAAAACGGCCTAGCTAACCTGTTTCAAACCTCGCTCAACAGAGCTGAATTGAGATTAATAAATTAAATATAATTATTACTAAAAAAGATGAACAATATGTATCGAAAAAATATATTGCTTAGATGGAAATTATTTGGAAGCCCAGTACGAAGTCCTTCTCTTTACACAGAGAGCTTCAACGGTAAAATATAAATGGCCTTCAACAATTTCTAGTGACACTTAGTAAGAATGGTAAATATATAGGCACGGTGGAGTTATGGATAGCGTCTTGGATTGAGTAATCGGAGAGCCGAGTTCGAATTCCAGTCGAATCCATTACATTCACTTACATGCTAATACCGTTGAGAAAGGTGTGAATCCTCTTCTTCTCCCTCCAGCTATGTGTAAGTAGCAGGGCAGACTGTTTTCTATGGCCTTGGATGGCAACTGGTCGAGGAGAAGGACAACTCTGAATTGAAAACCTGCGGAGGGTCGTTTGGGGACCTTGTGGCACGTAGTGCACCAGGTCTCTGTATTCGGCCGTTCAAAAAGTGTGGATGGTCCTGCACGAAAACTTCACCACTATAATCAAATCTCATGTGATGTTGTCGGGCTGTCGGTTTCCTGGGAACTGATCTGCTTGACCCTCATACATCGTCGATGAGAGAGTCGAGTATATATATATATATATATATATATATATATATAATGGGAGAGCACAAGTATTTGCCAGGGTGGCTAACTGATCCTTGCTCAGGCGTATTTGTGTTTATTCAACACCTGCAGCTATGCTGGGCGGATCTTGGTTATACTTTCTGGTAGAGAGTGCAATATATGGCTTGAACGCGATTTTGAATAACTCTGAAAGTCTCAGTCACGATGACTTGTGACATCGTGCTTGTAACAACTATCGACGGTTTCCAAACAATTTCGTCTACACAAGTTCCATCACGAAAATTAAATGGACTTTTTTAAGCCAGCATTATTTTTCTCTACTCCAAACGTCAAACAGTATTTCTTTATTAAGACTCTCGAATGCACAGGCCGCTAGACTGTTTAAAAATCGGGGGTGAAAGAGAGATAGATACTGACCGATAGATAGCTTCACGGCTAGGACTAACCATACTAAGCGCGCATTGTAGCTAAACACTCTTATTCCCTCAGTGTTCTATTGGTGAGACGTAATTACCTCTAGACCAGCTTCTTGGCACGAACCAATGCTCTTCGGAACCGACTCCCAGTCTGTTCAAATCTAGGTGTAACCGTTATTTTCACCACATATCCGCATAAACTCGAGGCTCTTAGTGTGTAACACTCTACCTCGAGTGACTCACGGGCCTTGTGCTGTGTGAATCACACTGCAAAAAACATACATAGTAAGTTGATGATAGCCAAACAAACAGATAGATGTATGTGAGGGAGTGGGGAAAATCAACAACGATTTATATATATATATATATATATATATATATATATATATATATATATATATATATAAGTATGTATGACAGTTGTATTAAATTCAATTATATTATTATTATTTGAAGATAACCCCCATGTCTTGCATGAAAATAATTCCCAAATCTGATTAATCTAAATCGCTTTATCCACATATAGATCTCAAGCAGCTCTTTATTTTGTTGAAAGCGCACTTGTTTAGCGGATAAGATTCCCGTTCTGTTTTATCTAAACACGCTACAAAAACATGGCTGGCTATATTTGAATACCCTATATACACATCTATTTAACTGATTCGTTTTTTATGGTTTATCTACCATGTGCAAATTATTTAAAGACATACATTTTTTTGTAAGAATTTTTTTTGATGGTGGTATAATAATAATTTGATGATACAAGTCTTATTATTTAATATATAGCTGAGGGAAGAATACGTGGATTCATAACTGTCTAACGATTATTTGCGCGTAAGGGAATATAACGAACCCAACTGGAATTGGAACACGGCTTTCCGATTTACAATTCACAGACATTATCCATTACACTACCCGTACATCCAAGCTTACAACAACCGGTATTCCGAAGAGGTCATCCATATAGGTACTGACCCAGACACACATGTATAAACTGGCTTTATGCAAACCATGAATTTTTTGAATAATTTTTAACCCCTCCAGCAAAAATAATTACCTGGGTATTCTGAAGGCGATCACTGAAAATGCATGATTTCTAACGTCTTCGAAGAAATTACCTTTGTATATTGCAACCCCTAATTGTCTACGTAAAAGACTGATCATAAAATCTCGCATTATATTCGTGTATATGCGGTAAGAAACTTGCTGGGCGTTTTAAAGTAGTTTCATTTTCATACAGGTCAATGTAAATGAATCTAATCCAAAATGGCGTTGACATTACGCTCTCAGTAAAGTCTTTCTTTGAAATGTCCATATTTTATTCAAAATGTCAGTACCAACATAGCACGAGTTTCGTTCGCGTGAAAGTTGCCAAACTTGATTTCTTTTGTTTATTCTTTCGGCAAAAGGGACGGTTTGTTGACGGACCTCTCCACTGGTGTATAGTTAGACTCTTTTCGTTCTCATAGTTAATGTGAGTAACTGCTGTTCCCAGCCTGATGTCTAGCGTTCTCTTTTGTTATGGTCCATGCCATAATTCCCAATACGAGCCAGATTTTTTTTTAGTTTTATTTTATCATTATTTGGTCAGCTTTTTATTTTCCCACTTTAATTTATTTTATCCTTCCCTCACATTTAGTGAGTCAGCGTCTTTATTTTGCCTATCGGCACAATACAGCTGCTACTCTTATTTTTCTGTGCGGTGGACATATTTTTTTTTTTAGTTTGAATATTTTTTTCCTTTTTTTGTTATTAGAATCGTCCTCTCTGCCCTTATTTCATGATAATAATTATGTCTATTTTTGTAAAAAAATAAAAATAAAAATAAAAATAAGTAGCCACAAATTTTTATCTCACGTGCTATTCGTAGGTTCCTCTGTGAGTATGTGGTATTTGCTAAATGTGAAGACGGATGTATTCTTGTGGTGAATAAGTAAATTATAATGAATGAATGGGTCACAAATCCGATTAGATATGTTTATGGTAATTATAACCCGCTTCGGTCCTTCCCTTTCGGTCTCACACCAAAATTGCACAAAGCATACACAGTACCAACAACATCACAAATGATCCTGGTGATAAAAAAGAAAATATTCGTAATTACCAAATTCAAAGATATTTTTTAATTGCTACGATGAGGAAAATATTTAAATATTTTGAAATTTCAGCAACTAGCGTACAGATTATCTTTGCTATATTTGGGTAGGGGATTTACTATCTTTGATAGAACTCTTTCATGCGGTCTTGTGAAGGATTAACTATTTTCCACTCCGCAGCTATTCTCCACTGAGAAAACGTTGCAAGCCTAACACTACTGTGTCGCTGTTTTTTACAGTAAGGTTCGCCCTGTCCAAGGCTTGAGGGCAACTCGCGTTAGAGGATTACATTAAGGGGTGGATTATATGGATAAGAGGGGAAAGATAACGGTTAATTCTAGACTTGAGCGCGTTAAGATAGTACTTCTTGGAGAAGCATCCTCTTGGGAGTTTGATCCACAGGGCAGTGATTCTTTGGAGGAAGCTGCTTGAGTGGAACTTACTCCTTGCCCATGGAATACGGATGGAATATGACTGGTTTGCTTACAATGTGAGTGTCATGGCGGGTCCTAGCCGGGGAGGTTAGAACTGGTGGAAACAAGGAATGTAGTTCGTCCGAGTACTTTCCATGGAAGTAGCGATAGAGCAATGAGAGACTCACCGCATCCTTTCTGTGTGTGTGTGTGTGTGAGAGAGAGAGAGAGAGAGAGAGAGAGAGAGGGAGTTGGAAGATGATTCTTCTCTGCACCGTACCACCTACATTTACTTGCTTACGGCATTATCAGGTTGAGAAACCTGTTCTCGTACGATCACTGAAGTTAAGCAACGTCTAGTCTGGTCAGTACCTAGATAGGTGACCGCTCGGGAATATCAAATGCTGTAAGTTTGGATTCACGGGACTTACAGCCATATCACGCTGAAACATCGGTTCCATTGTGATCACCAAAGTTAAGCAACGTTGTGTCTGGTCAGTACCTAGGTAGGTGTCTACTTGGGAATACCAAGTGTCTTTCGATTCAGGGGGGAAGAAAAGGGCTTATGGCCATATCCCGTGGAAACATCGGTTCCCGTATGATCACCGAAGTTAAGCAACGTTTTGCTTGGTCAGTACCTAGATACGTGACCGCATGGGAAAACAAGGTGTTGTTAGCTTGGATTTGCGAGGGGTGTAATGGATAACGGCTCTGAATTTGAAATCAGGGAGCCGAATTCCAATCTCAGTTGGCTTCGTTATATTCACTTACGCGCAAAAAAACCTTTGGGAAAGGCATGAAACCACCTCTCCTCCTTCCAGATATGGGTTAATTAATAAGACCTGTATCACTAAAACCATTATTATCTTAAAAAATAAATAAATAAAATTGCATATACGATATTTAGATTTCAGTATTAAATAATCTCTAGAGGTTTTTTTTTAAGCTTTTCACACCAAGCAAGGCAGAAGTGCCACTTGCACGCAGCGGGTTTCAGATAGTGTGAGCAGGGTAAAGTGGCATGTAAGAGAAAAAGATAAAGAGAAGAGCGGGGAATAAGATCAAGGCATCTGGAAATGTCGATTGACATTACATTTGTATACTTAGAGATTATAGCTAACGGGAAGGAAGTAAGAGGAAGGGAGTTCTACAGACGGGAAGTACAAGACATGAAGCTATTGGAGCAGAATAAACGGCTACATTTAACCGTTTGGACATTAAAGAGTGAGACTGAGATGCCAACCTAGTAGCACGTTTAAATTCATGCAGTTTGGGAACCAGCGGAATTAGCTCGTTGGAGAAGTTATCGTGAAAGTATTTGTAGAAAAGACAGAGGGAGGTGACGGCACGTCTGTGATAGGGCGACTGTAAACGAGATGCCAGATCAGGGCCTATCACATTGCATATCCGAACGGCGGGGGCTCCAGACCATATATGACAGCTGTATTTCATGCAATGGTGAATGATTGAGTTATAGATTTAAAGGATGGACTAAGAAACAACAATCTGGCGCTACACAGAGAACTAAATTACTTTGCGGTAGATATAGCTATTGATTCAATCTATTTGTTCCATCTCAGGTCAGCAGTGTGAGACCAAGCAGTCGCAAAGTAGTGCTCTCGTGGAGTTGAGCATCAGACATTCTAATGGAAGCCAGGGAGTGTTTTGTGTGGCAGGTAATAGTGAGCAGTTTTGTTTTTGAGGCATTAAAGTTTACCAGCTATTTCTTACCCCAGTCAACCACAGATTGGAGGCCCTTTTCGAGACCAACGGCCAGGTTAGTTTTGTCAGCGATACGAGATTTTCTGTTGAGGCAGAAGTAAATATTAGTGTTGCCTGCATAGCTGCCTACTATTGAACAGATGTAGCCCTTGGGAGCATCTGCATTCGTGAGAAAGGATCTGGAGGAGAATCCGCTGAGCACGACCCTCATTACACGGTATGACAGGAATGAGTGTATTAAATCAAATATTCGTCCTGAAATACCGTATCCCTGAAGCATACGAAGGACGCCGGTATGCCAAACCCTATCAAACGCTTTAGAGATATCTAGAGCCACGGTACAAGAATTTTAGTTACTATGAAGTGCTTGATAAACAAATTCAGTTATAGCTGTGTGCACAACAGTTGTAGAAACAATATTGATTGTCATAGAGCAGATTATGGGATGTAAGGTGATTAACTACTTCGGCGTTGATTAAAGATTCAAAGACTTTGCGGCAGGAGACTGATAGGATAGGATGGGTCAGACGGCACTCCACAGTTCTTAAAAAGAAGTACAATAGATGAAGTCTCTCTACAGGCTGCTTTCCAGCCTGTTGGAAGTCTTCAAGGTTGATATGCCGCTAAACAAGAACAACCAACCAGCCTACTTTTCCACTCATATCTCCAAGCCCATTAACCATTACCACATCAATTATAGCCTTTTAACATTTATTACCTCTCAGACCTTATTAAATTTAGTAATAAAAATAATTTAAATGTTTCTCTCCTTTCATAGTGTAAATATGTTAGTATTATGGAAGCACATTACTCTTCCTAGATACCGCATATCAAAGCGGACAAAGAAAATTTTAGATAGGACAAAATCAAAAATGAGTGTGAATTTCATGGTTTTATCTTATATAGAAGACTTAAGACAACTTCTAATTTACCATACGATACCAAGCAACCTATAAGATATCCCTTCAAAACATAGCTGCCCACCTTGTTTTTATTTATTATCTGTGAATTACCAGGACTTCATGAAAACGTTACTGATGTGGTTTCCATCATGACCCATTCTAATTTAGACTAGATCACCCCGATTGCTATCGAGATATAGGTCGACTTTTGAGCCTTGGCGGGAACGATATGTATGTATGCCTTTTTCTAAGCTCGAAGTAGTCGCATCACAGGTGGAATTTTCCTGCGGTTCGCCGATTCTGCTGTTGGTCCTTTTTTATTCGACCTGATTTGAAATCATAGGCTCCAAACCATATATTAATGAAATCCATTTATTTATTACTAAAATCCAAACTATATTTGAATGCCTGTATTGTATTCGCCTCGCCAGGGCTAGTACATGAACGATTTTGAATTTAGAGCTGTTCTTTTAGAGTGATTGCAAGCCATCGCTAGAGTATTTTTCCTGTCCATATCTGAAAGGAGAAGAGACGGACTTATACCTTAAACAAGAGTCATGGCTGAAATGAGATATAATGAACACGATCAAAATTCGAACTCAGCTCGTCAATTTCGTTTTCATAACCGGTAACCGTTACAATAGCAGCCCATTCGAAAGACATGAAGTAGAATTTTCAGAACGAATCAATTGTTAAAACTGCTGCTAGGAAAGCTAGTGGTGCTAGGCAATTTTTTTCTCAACAGAATCTATTTGTCTTATTTATAAGCCTAACTTTCGTCAATGCATTCCATATTGCTACTACATCTGGTACTGTGCTCTTGCTATATATTTAGAGATTCTAGATTAAAATCCAAATAAGTATATGCAATGTTATTGGTCCTGACCTGGCATCTCGGATGTAATCTGTTATGGTGACCTATCTACATTAGAATTAATTCTTCTGCCTTCATAAATACTAACCTGCGAGACTTCCTAAGTGTGCAATGTATATATGTTCTGTGATTTCAATTCACTTGTTCAACCTACCTTCTTCTTTATGTGTCTTTCTTTCTGGCCTTTAAACAGGCCACAACACAATCCCCTTTTCACTGGCGTAACGTAGCTTCCGTGTGTCTTTTCTATGAATACTTTCATGACAACTACTCTGATTAACTTTCCTCTATATCAACTAGACTTTATGAATTTAAGCACAGTATTATATTAGCAGCAAGGTCAATCAATTTTACAGAAGAAATTGTTAGATGTAACCGTATATTCTATACTAACGGATTTTTTTTCAGGTACTGATTCTTTGAGGAACTTTCTTCCGGATTCTTGATTCTCCGTCGACTTTGATCGGCAAAAATTTAAATAGAGTGCCAATCGTTATCTTCTGTCTTCTTGATTTCTGGTCTTATATTGTTTCCTCTCCTTATAGCTTTTTTTAATTGTTTTTCTCATATTCACCCATACTCAGTAACCCCTTTGCGTATTAGTGACTTTATTGCCTTGTTTATGTTGAAACGATATCAGAAGCACTTTTAAAAAAAAAATATAATTCAAAAACCTAATCTTTAAAATTTAATCCCAGCATTATCTGAAGCACATTTTCTTTAAAATATGTTTTTTTTAAAAATTTAATTAATGTTAGTTATTTCTTAAAGCATTTGTTTTAGTATAAGCCAAATTAAATTTTGTGAGTAACATTGGTTAAAATTTTTTTAATTAAAGAACATTTGTAGAATTATGAAATGTAACATGTTACTGTATTCATCATTCACCTCTTTGTAATTAGGGAGGTGTTTAAGTACCGCTAAAAATGAAGAGTTCTATGTGGAAAACTTGGCAAGTACGTTACTATAAAACATTTCTGGCTTATTTCCTTGGAGTGTGTGTTGTTGTCAATTGAGCTAACTTGATACTCAGGATGAGCTTTTGGAAGTACAAAGTTGAAAAACTTGGTCCAAGGTACGTGACACATATTCAATTTCTGGCTTATTTCCTTGTGTATTTTTGTCAACTGAGATAATTTGATATTCAGGCGGAGAGTAGGGAAGTACAGGGTTGAAAAACGTGGTCCTAGGTGCGTGACATATCCACCTTGTTTTCTGGGCTCGAATATGTAAATCACTACGATACTTAAGTTGTTCACAATTTAACAGAAAAAAAACCCAAAAAACTAATGTGCTACATCTGGCGTTTTCCTCAAAAAACGCACAATATGGTCCATCGTTTCAGAGGGTGGCTAACAGTCAATAAAAAAAAGGATTATTTACATAATTATGCAACGAAAAATGTCTTGGAAAAAACGAAATGAGTCACCGTTAACTGTCCAAATGCCGGTCTGCTGCCGAAAAATTTTGCGCTATACGAGGCCTGATAAAAAAAAAATGGGAATGATGTTATAAAAAACAAAAAACAAAAACTACAACATATATCAATTCGACATTTAATCTCCTTCGAAGTAGTTCCATCCACTTTATCCAGTGTCATTTCCGTTGTGAAAGCATTCCTGGAACTCCTTTTTTTAGGATAGCGAGCAGCTTCTTCCTTTCATTCTCTTAGTTTTCCTCGATGTCTTTAAATCTCTTCCATTTGAAGCGGGATTTGATTTTTTGAATTCCTTGGGAATATTGTACTTTGCCAAAAACTGCTGCACAAGCTATGATCATTGGTGGAACGTCTGTTGTGTGGTGAAACGACAAAACTCTAGAAAACTTTCTTTCGAGCACTTCTATAAAAAATGGACATCAGTGAGAAAGTTACAATTTAGTGTGTATACGTGACAACGCTCAAGATCAAGTTGTGCCAAGCAGATTCACACAGCGTACTTTTTATCCGTTGCCACAACATCAGTCCCGATACGTTTTGATCAGATACCGTATATCTGGTGGGTTTGGAAGAGCATTATGTATTATGATGTCCTTTCGCTAAATGAAACTTTGAAATCATTAATACTGTTTTCCAGTTTAATAGATTAAAGGTACCAGGAATTTGAAATTAGCTAATCAGAGAAAACGCCAGATTTCAAATTGGCTAAGCATAAAAAAAGGCGAGATCTATAGGCTAAT